GTCGTGCAATTCAGCGCATCACACAGGTCCCTCTTTTGTACAAATTTTATTCATGTTGCTGTATAGTGGCATGTGATTCTGTATTGTGTACTGTAAAAAAATGCAGCAAGTCTGCACTGTATCACAGCCCACTGCAGCACAGCGCCGCACTGCACTGCAGTTTGAATAGGAAACACAGAAAACATTTCTCAGCGTTTTACAGGTTTCTGGCAGCAGGGCTGGTCAGTGCTCCTGTACCTTCCGCCTGCACAGAAATGCTGAAATCTCATGCACAGGGGTTAAATGCACAATGTGCCTGAGACTTTAACCACTTCAAGTCCGGACACTTTCAGCCCTTTCCAGTCTAGGCCAATTTTCAGTGCTATCACACTTTGAATGACAATTGCGCGGTCATGCAACACTGTACCCATATGACATTTTTTAGCATTTTTTTGATACAGATAAAACTATTTTGGTGGTATTTATTCACCACTGGGGTTTTTATTTTTTTCTATACAAAAATGTTGAAATTAAATGTTTTTCTTATAACATTTTGCAAATAATATTTCTTCATAAATCTTGGCCAAAATGTATTCATCTATCTTTTTAGTGAAAAAAAAAAGTACCCAAATTAGTTTATAACCAAAAACTATAATTTTTTTTAAAAAAATGTAACATTTTATTTAATTTGTTTATATTATTATTTGTGTTTTTTCGCTTTTTTAACATACTGTCACCCTAGCAGTACCGTGTCACCGTCCAGCTGTTTATCAACATGGGCCAGACAGGAAGAGGTTAAAATAAACTGTAGCAAAAGTAAAAAAAAAATCCTTCCCCTGCAAATTAAGGGCATAATGTGCCAATAATCACATACTGGCATATTATGAAAGACGTGCCTTAACACAAAGCCCTACAGCAGTGTACTGTCACCACTGACAGGGCTTCCATCTTCAGTCTTCTTTCGAAGTCCACAGGCTCTGGCTGTGTGAATGGCCGAGGCATGATGACATCATCCCTGCGCATGTGCACAGGGGTCATGGCCATGGCACAGAGCTCTGAAAGGACGGCATCAGTATGCAGTCCCTTCAGAGCACATGTGTCTGTGACGTCCCTGGCTGCAGAAACAGTGAATATCTCCCAAACGGTGATATTTGTACCTACAGGTAAGATTTATTATAGGCTTTCCTGTAGGTACAAGTGTCCAAGCTGAGTTAACTATCGCTTTAAGAAACACATTCCTAAAATGTTATGTTGTTCATCCAAAAATGAGATTCTAGTTAGGCTACATTTCCCCTAAAAAAAAGCCTCCCACAATCAAACAATTTTTTTACAATCTAAAACAAATATACAGTAGCAAGCAAAGATGAATGAACCTACAACAGCCACTTGGATAAAGACAAGTAATTATTACCCAATCAAGTCAAATTCAGTGGAATTGGGTGTCATGATTTGCAGAATTAAAGCTCATTATAATACCCCATCCGATTACTATTGAGGAATTGTTTGAAAATTAAAATTTCTGTTTTTACCTTCCCCAACACAGGGCAGTTAAGGTGTTTTGTTTAATACCCCCCAAGAAATAGACAGTCATGCTGGTCCCTGTCCAAGCATGTATGTTTTGGTACAATTGTGAAAAAAAAAATATTTTGGTGGGTAAATCATAAATGTGTATCTGACCACATATTATCTATTGGCAGTTTTACAGTTTATAGTAGGATCTAGGTCTCATCAGAAGCTAAACAAAATTCGGATAACATAAAACTTATCGTAAAGTACTGTATTTTAAAAATTGCTCTCATAAATCTCCATAATCAGTCAGTGTTTTGTTTACTTCAATAACTCCTACAGTTAACCATATTTTCCCAGACATTAAGTCTACAGTTTAAACTTGTTTGCTAAAGTGTTTCAGGGATTACTGACAATGATAAGTGTTTATCCCTTTGTCTCTTTTTTCTGAGCTGAGAAAAGATTGAGGGATTTGAAGTCTAGTGGCTTTAAAAGAAAAGGTAAGTTGCTGATGTCCTTGAATGTCCTGTTGCTATTTTGTTATTAAATGTTGAATAATATATTCTGTATATGTTTGTGGTAAATACACACACACATTTTATTTATTCATATATTTTCTGAAGTATAAAAAAAAAAAATATATACAAGAAGGGTGTAAGCAAGTGGGTCCCCCATTTCCGATAGTAATGTGTAGGCCTTTTAACAATGGGTGATTGAATTAAAGTGGTAGTAAAGCTACATTTTGAAAAAAATTGCTGACAGGCAGGATATTCATGACAGAAGAAAACCTGTCAGTCTTTTCTGTCATAAAAGCATTGTCTTTACCTGTCAGGCATCATGTACACTGAGCCGTGTGTGCGCAGCTCAGGGTACATTTTTGGTCTGTGCCATGGCGATGTGACGTCGTCCACTCAAACGGTTTAAGACAAAGAACCTGAAGGGAAGACCAAGCGAAGATGGAGGTGCTAGGAACCTGACAGATCAATCACACTGCAACTCTGGAGGGCTTCTTTTATAGGTAAGTCTGCCATAATGTGCGAATATGCTGTGTATATCAGCACAATATGGCAAATACCTGCAGGGGACCCCTAAAATGAAAATAATGGCCTTTTCACAACATCAGTCTGCCCACCAAGCTCTCTCATGCCTATAGTCCCTCATGATGTGAGGGAATTTGGTAAGTACAAGCTACCAGTGCTAAAGAGATGTCATCTAAATGTATTTCAAACCTAGTATATCTGTTCTTTCTAGTTTATTCATTAATTACACAGGCTTTAAAAGCATAAACAACTTAATGGGAAAAAATAAATGTGGGAAAGAAACAGACTAAAAATGGAATTAGGTTAGTGTAATATGGTTACAGCAAGCCTTACCAGGCTATATAGCCAACTCTTATAATGGTTATATAAAGTTTGGAGTTTTTAAAAAATAAACATACATGCTCACCTCCATGCTATTGCAGCAGCTGTCCTCCTCTGGCTATAACCCTGAGAACTCAGCAAACACATGACCACGGATCACAGTCCTCAGTCAGTTTGGAGGAAAGAGAAGTGACTGTCAGTCATCGCTCTCTGCTCTGTCCTTCCAGCAGAGAGGTATGTTTAAGTAGAGCTTTTAAATAAAAGGCATAAGTGAAGTATCTGCTCATCTGTATATGGTTGACTGAGCCATACGATATACACTCACTGGCCAATTATTTGGTACACCATGCTGGTACTGGGTTGGATCGCCTTTTACCTTCAGAACTGCCTTCATTCTTCATGGCATGGCCAAGGTGTTGGAAATATTCCTCAGAGATTGTGGTCCATATTGACATGATAGCATCATGAAGTTGCTGCAAATTTGTCGGTTGCACATTCAAGATGTGAATCTCCCATTCCACCACATCCAAAAGGTGCACTATTGGATTGAGATCTGGTGATCAAGGAGGCCATTGGAGTACAGTGAACTCATTATGTTCAAGAAACCACTTTGAGATGTTTTGAGCTATGTGACATGGTGCATTATCTTGCTGGACAGCCATCAGAAGATGGGTACACTGTAGTCATAATGGGATGGACTTGGTCAGCAACAATGATCTGGTAGGCCATGGTGTTTAAACGATGATCAATTGGTACTAAGGTGCGCAAAGCGTGCCAAGAAAATATCCCCCACACCATTACACCACCACCAGTCTGAACCGTTGATACAAGGCAGGATGGATCCATGCTTTCATGTTGATTAGGCCAAATTCTGACCCTACAATCTAAATGTCACAGCTGAAATCGAGACTCATCAGACCAGGCAACATTTTTCCAATCTTCTATTGTCCAATTTTAGTGAGGCTGTGCATTTCCTGTTCTTACCGGACAGGAGTGGCACCGGGTGTGGTCTTCTGCTGCTGTAGCCCATCTGTTTCAAGGTTCGACATGTTGTGCATTCAGAGATGGTATTCTTCATACCTTGGTTACAACAAGTGCTTATTTTGATTACTGTTGCCTTTCCATCATCTCGACTGCTAATTCTCCTCTGACATCAACAAGGCATTTTCCTCCACACAACTGTCACTCACTGGATATTTTCTCTTTTTTGGACCATTCTCTGTAAACCCTATAAAATCCCAGTAGATTAGCAGTTTTTCAAATACTCAGACTAGGCCGTCTGGCATCAACAACCATTCCATGTTCAAAGTCACTTAAAGCCCCTTTTTACCCCATTCTGATGCTCAGTCTGAACTTTGGCAAGTTGTCTTCATTATATCTAGATGCCTAAATGCATTAAGTTGCTGCAATGTGATTGGCTGATTAGCACTTTGTGTTACCAAGCAATTAAACAGGTGTACATAATAAAGAGGCCGGTAGTGTATATCAGAAAAGATAGAAGCTGTGACAATGGCTGATTAACTCAGTCCATTTAAATATAATTTCTTTAGCATTACGAATGAGAACAGTTATTCTAGGGCTATGATCCATAGTTATCTCTAAACTAATAACTTGTAAAGCTCCTGCTCGACTCAGTTTTTCTCAGCAGAAGATCTGCCGGAGATTCCCTGCTAAGCAGAGCAAAGCATAACGGGCAGATGACAGGCCCGTGTCCACTCTGTGTATGAACATGGACACCGCACGGACACAGCCCACTCTGCTCTACTGGGTGGCCGTGTGTAAATAGATCGCCTGTCCATTTACACCCAACTGCCCTATGATCTGATCTACTAGACTGAAGGGGAATGGAGCCCCCTTTGTTTCTGTTTGTTTTTAGCGGATTGGATTGGAGGTAGGTGGGTGTCAACAAACACAAAAAAAAAAAAAAGAGAATGGAGGGTCCAATCAGGTCCATTTGAAAGATGGACAAGTGGACCAGATCCAGCCGATTGTGTGAAAGGGGCCTTAAAGCATAACCTATGGGCAATTTTGGGTACCATCGTTTTTGGTAATACACTATATTGCCAAAAGTATTGGGACACTCCTCCAAATCATTGGTTTCAGGTATTCCAATCACCTCCATGGCCACAGATGTATAAAATCAAGCACATAGGTATGCAAATTGCTTCTACAAACATTTGTGAAAGAATGGGTCACTGTCAGGAGCTCAGTGAATTCAAGCGTGGTACCGTGATAGGTTGCCACATGTGCAATAAATCCATCCATGAAATGTCCTTTCTACTAAATATTCTGTCAACTGTTAGTGGTATTATAACAAAGTGGAAGGAACTGGGAACAACAGCAACTCAGCTACAAAGTGGTAGGCCACGTAAAATGACAGAGCAGGGACAGCGCATGCTGAAGCGCAGTGTGCAGAAGTCGCCTACTGTCTGCAGAGTTAACAGCTAAAGACCTCCAAACTGTGTGGCCTTCAGATTAGCACAACAGTGTGTAGAGAACTTCATGGAATGGGTTTCCATAGCCGAGCAGCTGCAACCAAGCCTTACATCAAAGTGTCGGATGCAGTTGTGTAAAGCACACCACAGACTCTAGAGCAGTGGAGATGTGTGACGAATCACACCTCTGTCTAGCAATCTGATGAACATGTCTGGGTTTGGCGGTTGCCAGGAGAATGGTACTTGCTTGACTGCATTGTGCCAAGTGTAAACGTTTGGTGGAGGGGGGATTATGGTGTGGGGTTGTTTTTCAGGGGGTTGGCCCTTTAGTTCCAGTGAAGGGAACTCTTTAGGCATCAGCATACAAAGACTTTTTGGACAATTTAATGCTCCCAACTTTGTGGGAACAGTTTGGGGGATGGCCCCTTCTTGTTCCAACATGACTGCTCACCAGTGCACAAAGCAAGGTCCATAAAGACATGGATGAGCAAGTTTGGGGTGGAGGAACATGACTGGCCTGCACAGAGTCCTGACCTCAAACCAACTGAACACTTTTGGAATGAATTAGAGTGGAGACTGCGAGCCAGGCCTTCTTACCCGACATCAGTGCCTGACCTCACAAATGCGCTTCCAGAAGAATAGTTAAACATTCCCATAGACACTCCTAAACCTTGTGGACAGCCTTCCCAGAACAGTTCAAGCTGTTATATCTGAAAAGGGTGGGCCAACTCAATATTGAACCCTACAGACTAAAGTTCATGTGCGTGTAAAAGCAAGCGTCCCAATACCTTTGGCAATATAGTGTATTTGGTATCTATTGAGTTGACACAAACCCAACTTGTTTGCAGTAAAATTAATTTTGTGGGTTTTTTTTCCTGAAATAATGCGTTTGGTAAATAGTTGCGCAAATATCATGAGATATTTTCTATCAAAAAATGCAGATTTTAACATGTTAGTCAAAAACAAAAAAATGCCCAGTAGAAAAGTGATTAAGGGCCTCATCACACCAGGTGCTTAGGGATGTACTTGCAACCTTTTCCAGTGCTGCAACTTGCCTTGTTTACTACTAACTCAATCCACACTCTTGTTGCAGTGGTGTGGGATGAAGAAAGTACAACATACTTAACTTTCTTACTGCAGTGTGTTGTGATGCAGTACAATGCATCACCATGCTGCTGCAGTAAACAAAAGTGAATAAAATGTAACTTTGTGACATTTCAATAAAGTTTAAAAAAAATAGGTAACAGTGTGATGCTCCATTTTAGATGTGTTGGTACCACTGCTGAAGCAGCATACATAATAGGCTGTTTTCTAACACAGCTATTGGTGTGAATCGGTCTTATGTTGTAAATATTGGAAGACCTGTCTCACTTACAAATAGGCCCTGTTCTATGTCATCTCCTCAATGCTCTAAACAAGCATGAATGCACTTTGCAAATGCAAAAGATATACAGTATAGAAAGACTACACTGAATTGCAATACTGCTTGTTATCTTGTACGAGTCAAGTACTACCTCTCTCTCTGACTGGTCCTCCTTTTTATCCTGTATGAATCAGGTACTTCTTCCCTCATCCCCGCATAATTTGTTGTATGACAATTTAGTACAATAGAAATCCCAATAATGCCTATGGGGTCCGTTCATACCTATGCAACATTTTTCTGTGCAACCCAGAAAAAGGTGACATTCTTTGGTTCATTTTTGGCTCTAAAGACTTTGTGAAAAATGCCTAAAAATGCAGTCACACAAATGAAAATCTATAAACATAACGTGCCCTCCCAACCCATAATTAAATCAGTAGCTGCAAGAACACGATACGCATTCCATTATTAATGGAGTGCATTGATAAGCACCAATGCAGAAGGGGGAAGTGGGGACATGAAGATCAACAGATGTTCTCCAACCTCTTTATAGGATCACTAAACTGTTGTAGTGGGACATCTTCTCTGCATAACCAGCAAAGGGAGTCAACTGGTTCACACCTATGCATTTTCGAGTGCTTTTTGCAGAAACCCACTACAGTCCATTTAACATGGTTTCCTACGGGACATATTCACATCTATGCTTTCAGCTGCTGTATTTTTGGTAAGGGTTAGGGACTTTTTTTACCGAAGCAGATTGCAACAAGCATAGGTGTGAAACAGGCCTTAAAGTGTTACTAAACCCACAACAGTAAAATCAGTCTGTATATGCAGTAAAGCATGCTTGTTATACTCACTGTGGAACCTAAAGGGTTAATCCTCTGCATTGTGTAAAAAGGCTGTTTGATCCTGTTTTCTCTGCCCCTCCTCTTGTTCAGATGTCCAACTGATAAGACAGACTGAACCCATAGCCACATGCACATGCTCAGTTTAGTGTGTAGTGCTAGAGAGGTTTTTTTTCTTGGGAGAGTGCTTGTGATCAGTATAGGGCCAATCAGCACTGTCCATACAGCGGGTCAGGGGTTTTGCATCCTCCTAGAGCAGAAAGAAAACTCCTCCTACAAGCTTTAACAAGTGCTCGGCTGAAGTCAGAAGACTGCTCTAACTGCTGATGAAAAAACGTATTTAGCAGTTCATACTTACTAAAATAATTGCATTTCCATGTTGTATGTACTGTGGGAGACCAGACAGAGTGAAAGCAGGGTCCTGGGTTTAGTAACACTTTAATTGTCACTAAACCCAGGACCCTACATTCAGTATATCTGGTCTCCCACAGTACACACAACATGGAAAAGCAATTATTCTAGTAAAGTTAAACTGCTAAATACCTTTTCTCAACAACAGTATATAGCAGTGTTGTGCCCAGGTATGGGCAGGCTGAATGTACCCAAGATGATCGATCAACTTGGGTACAACCAGCCTGTTGGATTTTGCATGCGATTATCACTAGTGGCTGTTATAGTTTCTAGCAATAAATACTATCTTCTCCCCATGGGGACAATTTCTTTCCTGTGACCCATGGTCTATGGCTTGCCTTAGGCAGATGATGTGTCATTATGTTGATGAGATCGGACAGTGAGAGAGTAGTTTAGCAAAAGACAATGGGCAGGGTTGAATCCACTCAGAAACCACTCAGCCCACAAAAGTAATTACAAGATGAGCCCATTTCTAGCAGATCAACAGATATATATTTTTGTACATTCAGGGTATCTAAAAGGATAAAATATTCAAGGAGGGAAAATATCGGAAAGGGAAATGTGCAAGTTTTTCAGAGATGTACAGCATTTTTTCCATGACATAAGCTCTAACAAACAACAAATGAAATCACCTGACAGTTCTCCATGCTGACTGATCAAAACCCTCAAAACCTGCAATAAGTTTACTCAAACTTGTATAGAAACCTACTGACAGCCACTGCTTCATAGCTTTCCTATGATGACAAGTGGAGATTTATACATTTCAGTTCACAAACATCATCACTAAGCTTGTACATATTGACATTCAACTGTAACTCATCCACCCACTCCTGGGTTACCAGATAACAACAGTACTCCAATAGCCTTGCTATTAATTACACACAAATCAGCTTCAACACTCACCGGAAACATCAGACCCACATTTCTGAAGATCTCTAAATGCTTACTTGGAGAACTGATGATCAGGAGGCTGTAACACATGCATTTACAGCCTTACAGAAATGTGGGTCTGACGTTTCCGGTGAGTGCCGAATCTGATGGGCATTGTGTGTAATTGAAAACGCAGCTGTTAGAGTACTATTATAGATTTATAAATTTGCCACAGGATTGCTTTTTGACCACAGTAGTGTGCATTGCAGGAATTGAAACAGATTCAATTGAAGAACAAATGTGCATTCAATGATTCTCATCAAAGCTGTGTGATACAAGTACATGCTTGTACAAACTGGTTATGTGGTGTGGGGTCTTAATCCTGTGAACAGGTGGCTGCATTTACAATCTGCTTACTTTAAGCCCTGTCAGGAAATTACCTGGTTTATTTGACTTAGATCATTCTTTTGTGTGAAGTTCATTTTGGGATTGTGTACGTTAATGGACAATGTTACTATCAGCTTCGAGCACCATGTGCTGTATTACTGTGCAAGAGACATCCCACAGCATTTTTTTTTGTATGCGATTTATGGCATACAATTTATTTTGCAATATGAGCATATCTACGGAAAAAAAAAAGTACAGTTGCAACATTTCTAACCTCTAAGCTGATGTTATGAGAGTTTTTCATTGACATGTTGAAATTACATTCATGCATTCCACTTACAGTATATGCTGTGCTACTGCCATATGCAACAGTTTACTGGTGTGCCTGTTCCTTCCTCTGTTTGCATGTTAATGTGGTAGTAAACTTGTTTCTGACATTTTTACCTACAGGAAAGTTTATAATACAGCTTACCTGTAGGCAAAATGAATATATCCTAAAAATGTGCACCATTTTCCAGTGAGCAGCCGGTGACGTCACCAGCGTATGCGTTAGGGTTGCCACCTCATCCCTTTAAAATGGAACACATTAATTACACAGGTTCTGAGGCTAATTTAATACAGATAAGGCACTAAGTGAGTGAAATTGTCACCTTAATCAGCCACAGAACCTGTATAATTAATATGTGTTTGGTTTTAAAGGGATGAGGTAGCAACCCTAGTATACGCTCTAAAGGAACGACATACCAGTGCCATTCCTCCCGTGCATGCGCAAGAGTGATGTAATCACAGGTCAGCCAGATAGATGGCCAGAACCCACAAACCTAGAAGGAAGACCAGGTGAAGGTGGAAACCCAATCAGCAGTGATAGCTCGCCACTAGAGGACTTCAATTTAAGGTAAGTCTCTCATAATGAGCTGCAACCCATTGCATACTAGCACATTATGACAATGTCTGGCAGGGGGAAATTTTTTTTAATTCCCAAACCTTACTACCGTTTTAAAGTGGAACTTTAGTCAAAAAATTAAGTCCTGCTAGATCACTTCAAGCTGGCCCCTTTTGAAGGTATAGCCATAAAAACATTAAAAATAAGTGCCTATATTGTTTAGAATCCTGTAATACACTCACTCACCCTGCTCTGCACATGCTCAGTGCTCTCTATTTTTTTTGGCACTGTGCCACAAATGTAGAGGCCAATCTGCTGAAAGCCTAAAGATTTACTACTGCTCAGGGGCTCTAGGTTTCAGCAAAATGGTGGTCTGCAGCAAGAAGAAATAGGAACAATGC